GAAAGAGGATCATAGGATTTCACCCTATTTATTCCAGACCCACCTTGTCCTTGAAGTCTCCTTCCCAGCCTCCCTAAGTGGAATTATCAGTCCCCTGCCGAACCTCTATACTTTCTAACCGGTCACAGCCTTTGTCGTATTTTTCTCAATATTTTAGGTATTTATATATGCTATTTTCTTTGCTCAGTTAATATGGTAGTGAAATGTAAACACATCCTGCAAGTGTGGAGATAATCTGCTTTTAAAGCAGAGATTATGGGTGTTTCATTATCATTGTAAATTGCTGCATCACGGCTCCTTCACTAGCCTTTGTTGAGTGTCTGTGCTGTGCCAGGTGCAGATGAGAGATTGTAAGGTATAAAAGGCACAGTTCTTACCTTCAGGAAGTTCTTGCTCCAGACTGGAGGGTGGGCATAAACAGTTTACAAAGTGATGTTCATGATAATAGAGATATGAACTTTGCTGAGGGTGTGAGGAATTTGTCACTGAGGAATAATAACAGCAATAATGATTGAGCCTTTAATTGAAGCCAGGTGCAGTGCTGAGCACTTGTGCTGGACTGGCCGATAGAGTGCCACTTGGTAGTGGGGGTCCTTGCTGAGTTTAGAGTCCACTTTGGGGATACACACATGCACCCTAAAAGACTAAATTTCTTCCTTAAGGACTTATGGAAATGGAAACAAGCTCTCTAGCTTCCCTTTCCAAATAAGAAAACATTAGATTAAACCAAAAGAAAGCACATCAAAGTGAGTACAGTGCCTACCAGGCCTCAATCATCTGGAGCTCTGCAGGCTCCTCCTTGCTGAAGAGGCCAGGCCTGCTCTCAGTGTCTGAGTATGTGGCCAGGGTGGGACTGGGGAGGTGTCAAGACTTCAGTGAAAGTGTGCAGGAGCCACTGTGTTTGAATCTGTGACTCCAACACAAGCTATTGCCCAGAGGCTTTATTTCCAGTTTCCAATCTGTGATTGGGAAGTTACTCGCATGAGTAGGTGGACATCATTGGTCAAAACCAAAGTTAGTGTCACACAAACAAAGCCCCAGCTAATTGTTCCTGCATCTCAGGGCTTGTCCCAAGTGGGGAAGAGCTGATGGAAGCAGCAAGGGGCTAGTGTGGTGTAAAGGTGTGGTTCCAAGTGGTCAGAAATGTCTGAGGCAGAGAGATTCCAAGATGTTGAGCGGCTCAAGCTGACCTAAATGAAGGTCCTGAGGTGGATTGTCTAGGCAGCTAACTCCCCCATCTTGGAGTCTTACTCAGTGAGACTGATAAGCAAAGATTCGGCATTTGAGCAAGTGGGACAGGGAGGGGCAGTGTTATGATATTTCAGGCATGAGCCATTATGGAGAGAGTTTGCTCCCCTTGCAGGCCTTTTAAGTACATTAAAACCTACCTTTTCCCAAGTGGCAGCTTGGACTAGTTGTCTCTTGAGTGTTGTGGGCAGTGGTTGCCTATCCATTCTTTGTTTTTATCTCTATTGTTCCTATTCCCTTTGACATATACACTTCGATGTCTTTGTTTTCTATATGCATCAGATATTATGGTTCCATTTTGTTTTTTAAGGAATACAATAAGTAAAGATGAAAAGAATGTTAATAAGGTTAAAATTACATTAGGATTCTCTGGCCCGCTGACTACAATGCAAAAGTACGAGCCAACTAGTACTGAGTGTTCTTGGCAACCATGCGTTCTGCAACGTTTAACACACACTTGCCCCACCATTTTCCTTTGTATTTTCCTCCTCCATCCTCCATCCTCCCCACCTGTATTTTTTTTTTATAAATTTTTTTTTTAATTTATTTTTAGCTGCGTTGGGTTTTCGTTGCTGCGTGCAGGCTTTCTCTAGGTGTGGCGAGCAGGGGCTGCTCTTCATTGCGGTGCGCGGGCTTCTCATTGCGGTGGCTTCTCTCGTTGTAGAGCACGGGCTGTAGGCACACGGGCTCCAGTAGTTGTGGCTCGCGGGCTCTAGAGCGCAGGCTTGGTAGTTGTGGCACACAGACTTAGTGGCTTTGCGGCATGTGGGATCTTCCTGGACCAGGGATCGAACCTGTGTCCCCTACATTGGCAGGCGGATTCTTAACCACAGTGCCACCAGGGAAGTCCCCCCCCACCTGTATTTTGATTGAGAACAGGTCACTTTATCTGATCTGTCTGTGAGTCAGTTTCTAGATTTTTAAACTCAATATGATTTTAAGCATCAGATCTTTGCACGGTCAGTACTCTTCAAACGACACAGTGCATGCAGATCACGTGGATATCTTGTTACAGTGCAGATTCTGACCAGGAGAACTGTGTGCAGCCCGGGACTCTTCGTTTCCAACAGATTCCCCGGTTGCTGATACTGCTGTTCCGCAGATAACAAAGTGATGACAACGTTCCTTTTCAACTATTATCCCTCTTCAATTTAACACTAACACATATAAATGGCTTTAAGCCTTCGTTTATTGTGACAAATATTAAGTGCTAAAATTCTTAAATTAATAAGTTTGAAGTTTCTTATTTTGTAAGCCTAAGAAATGATTGCTTCTCGCCACATGGAAAATGTTAAGTTCTTGTTTAGCCATGCCCTCAACCATCACTCTGCCCCCAAGGGGCAAAAGATCATTACTTTTTAAGTATTACCTGTGATGAAGTTTAAACATAAAACCTTTGTGGATAACTAATAGTGCTTTTCTCACATAAGTGAGGCACATATGGCTGAGTAGAGAAACCACCAGACTCAAGGGAAGAAAAAAACCTAAGCGTTATTCAGAGCAGGCTAAGAATTTCAGACTGGTTAGGTGGATTTGAATAACTATTAACAAGAGAGAGCAGTTTATACTTGTGGGGATGAATTGAATAATCTAGAAAAGAATAAATACACTCTTTTTTTCTAACTGTTTTTCTTTATGTCTTTCAGAGAAATCAACGTCTCAGTCATTGGTCGGTATGTGGATTATCTTGCAGAAGAACAGGGAGTGAAGAATGTCTTTGGTAAAAGTCATCTTTAGAGATATACATATCCCTAGCTCAGTCCTTAGAAAGTAGCTGTCACCAGATTACTAGCCAGGAGGTCACAGTGTTATTGTGTCACAGATTATGGTTGAGCCTGGGTAAGCCATGTAAAATTTGTGGATTTTTAGTCTCATCAATTTTAGACCTAAAAGATGATCAAGAGATTATATAATTTGGTAGTGTACCTGAGATAGGCTGGGACCTGGGACCCTTTACCAGAGTGCTTACACCTGGACAAACGTCTCTGAGAGCAACAACAGACTACAAAGAAACTATTAGGGAGTAAAAATCACTACACACATGAGCAGTGGGGGCAATTATGAACAATAAGGTTCAAAAAAGGCCACAAGCCAGCTGCCACTTCTAAGGTACGGGGAGCATGCAGGGTACCGCGCATGATCCCTGCACTCATGGGGGTGGGTAGACCACCTAAGCTACGCCTCCTGCCCAACCCACAGACCCACCCCTGTTGTTACCCCTTTTAAGGGACCAGCTCGCCACCTTGGGGAGCGAGCAAGGACACCTCTTTCTTGTTCTCCCTCCCTCATGCTGTAGCAGGAACCTCAGTAAAGCCTTGCCTGAATTCTCAATTTCTATTGATTAAAGAGTCCAAGGACCCAGGTCTATAGACAGAGGTCATTTCAGATCTGTAGTACACACCATTGTCTTCATAAGTAACTGCCACCTATGACCACCTTGACATCCCAGTACTGAATGGTATTTTTTCCTGCCATTCAAGCCCAAATATAGAACTGCCTGGCATGCTCGGAGATTTGCCTGAAACATGGGCAGTTACCTCTGTCTCCATTTAAAATACTCTCTATCCCTGAAAACAATGAGATTTGTAAATTACAAGTCATACTTAACCTTCCCATTCCTTTTGACAAGGTGAGGATGGAAAAAAGGCTGAGTCTGAGGTGGAAATAGAAACATGGCATCACCCCACCCACCCAGATTCTGTCCTCTGGTGTTTCTCCGTGTCCCTTCCTCTCGAGCAGGGATTTCTGCCCCTGCACTGCCAGCGTTGGTGCTGGAAAAACGAAAGGTATCGATTGGTCCCACTGACTGACTCTCTGTTTGGAACAGTGAATGGCACGACAGGAGAAGGCCTGTCCCTGAGCATCTCAGAGCGCTGCCGGGTCGCGGAGGAGTGGGTGACAGAAGGGAGGAACAAGTGAGTGGCCCCATCAAGATAAACACATGCATCTGCGAGAGCTGCATAGACCACAGCTATACCCCAGATGACACAGCCTCCCTGCTCTCTGACCACAAATCAGGCCTGAGGTCAGCTTGTGCAGAGAGGAACTGAGGCAGAGGAGGGCCCTTCCTTTCCATGTGGAAGGGCAGCCAGACACACCTGGCTCTCAGAGATCCCATCGGGAAACTGGAAACTGCCTCTTGTTTTATCTACCAGGCCAGTCCCTCCGGTTCCCTGTCCTTGGCCTGAAGGGGTGTGGAGCAGGGCCCTGGTGACTGGCTGCTGAGCTCCTAGCCCTTCCGCTGAGCAGCTCATACTCCTTCCCATCTCAGGGTGGGTCCTGGTGATTCTATCAGCCTGTTGCTTCCTTACAGTTCTCTCTGCATGTGACTCAGCATGCTTTTTGTGGTGCTTCCTCTTGTAGTCTTAGGGAGCTTTCTGCATCCTCTAAACCTCAGTGAGTTAATGTATTTGGTTATAGCACTTAATTTGTGCCATGGTGAAACAAATAGGACAGCATCAATTCAGTAAGCACGGCAATTAACCAAGCTTGATTTGTGGTCTGTTCTGCACTGTTATGCATCGTGTGTTATGCACTGTGCTGGCACTGGAGATATAAAACAGGATCTCTGCCCTCAGGTTGCTTACCATCCAATGGAGATGTCAGACCATGAAAACTAACACTGATCCTTCCGATAAATAGTGTAAACAGGGATCAGAGAAGGGTGATTGACGGTGTCTTAGGTGGAGGCAAAGATTGGAGGTAAGTCTCAAGTGAGCCTGGAGCAGAGGTTGTCAGTGCAAAGCCCCTGCCCACTTTGGGGACCCTTAATTGGCTTTAGAGCAGCTTGGATGCTCTGAAATTATACGCCAAATGTGACTGCGTGTCCACGTGTGCACTTTCTGGTGATCTTCAGTTTCCAGCTAATTTTCAGTCAGATCCTGGGCCTCAAAAGTTTAAAGACCACAGATAGAGTGAGGAAAGAAGAAGGCTAAGGGTAAACATCAAGAAAAGCACCAGGACCGGGAGGGATAGGGAAGTGGGCGCAGACAGAAAACCCTCGGAGGGGTCAGAGGGAAGTGAAGAGCAGATCCTGTCTGCTGGAAGGAAGGAAGGAAGGAAGGGTGCTTCAGAGAGCGTCGAGGGAGCGTGGAGACTAAGAGCAGGGCCTGCAGAGCCGGACTGCCTGAGTTGGGTCCTGAGTCTGCCTCTAAGTAGCTCTGTGAACTCAGGCAGCTCTTAAATGCCCTGTGCTTTGTCTGTGAAACAGGAGTACTAATAGTACCTGTCTTATGAGGCGCTGGTGAGGATTCAAGCAGTGCCACACGTATAGTACTAAGTATTATATAAGAATTCACTGTAACTGTTTGCAGTGGATGCTGTGTTCATTATAACATCTGTTATAATCATTATTAGATGCTGTGAGAGTCAGTAGGATTGAGAAAGTAGGAAATGACCAGCTAACCTCAGAGAGAGCAGAGCCAGTCGGGTCATTGTCACAGAAGCAGCTGCCCTGAGGTTAGAATGCCGCTGACACATGGCAGGGGAACCAGTGAGGGTAGCTTATTCTCACCCAAAAAAATTTGCTGCTGAGGAGGAGAGAAGGAATCATGGATTGGAGCAGAGGAAGCAAAATTAAAAGAAGGGTAGTTTTTTTTCTCTTAAAGCAGGGAAGTAATGAGCACATCTCCATGCTGAAAGGACAGTGCCATTGGAGAAGAGATTAAAGAGAGTGGAGAACTGATGCCTTTGATGGCAGGTCTCCACGGGGGTTTGAAAAAAATCCCAAATGTAAGTAGAATAGCTTTAGGAGACAGCTAAGAAGCTGGGAGGAATGCATAGAAGGTAACACAACTAAACGCAGAGGTGAGGAGAAGGGAGGGAGTCTGTGTGTGGAAGAATCTTTACCTTCGGTGTCTTGGAAGCGAGGACATATGCCAAGAACACGGGTTTGGGTGGAATTTAGAGCTTGAGGAGAAAAGTCAAGATTTGGAGCAGCCACTGCAGTGACCTGGAAAGGGAAGTGAGTCATGGGGACCAGAAGGCTTTCGGGAGCCTCGTCCTCCTGAATTGGGAAATCACAAGTTTGTACTAAAGCCACAGACCCAGCAGCCAGGTGGAGAGGGGGAGGGAATGCATGATTGTTTTAACCTAAGCCAGGAGATAGGGGTAGTGAAAGGTTTAAGGAGGTCATGCAATAAAGCTGCTGGTGAGGGTAAAGCAGACCAGCCAGTCACCTTTTCTCCTTTCAGAAGTCTTCTGTTGTCCTTAACAAATGCAGACCTGATCATAGCACTTCCCAGCTAGGTCCCACTTTACCGAAGACAGAACAAGTCAAGAATCACAGGAGGACTCAATGCTTGGGCCTTAACGGGGATGTGGTGTCTCCATCCCATGCGAGCAGCATGTGTGTCACTCTGAGTCCCTGGAAGACCCGCCAGCGTGACTGCATTCACAGCTGAGTTTTATTGATCCTCCCCTTAGAAGACCAGTCTAAGTGTGGCCTCTTCCCACGGGGCCCCGTGGAGCACCTCCAAAGATGAACACTGAGGTCTCAGAGAAAACCTCACTCATGGCCAAATTCTGAGGACATACAAGATAGGAAAAAACTTTTCACGGTGAATTCCTTTCTCATATGGCTGGTTCCTGGTTGTACTCTTTGAGGAACCTCTTTATTTTTATCTCCAACCAAAAATATCTCAGCTTTACACCTATTTTCATGCACATTGTCACCATCAAATGCAGCATCTCTAACAATGCATAGTCAAAATAAGGTACCTGAGTCTTGATTGATTTATCAGTTATTGCTTTCAAAATCCTATTGCTTATATACAGCAGAAACTAACACAACATTGTAAAGCAATTATACTCCAATAAAGATGTTAAAAAAAAATCCTATTGCTTATATACAGCAGAAACTAACACAACATTGTAAAGCAATTATACTCCAATAAAGATGTTAAAAAAAAATCCTATTGCTTATATACAGCAGAAACTAACACAACATTGTAAAGCAATTATACTCCAATAAAGATGTTAAAAAAAAATCCTATTGCTTATATACAGCAGAAACTAACACAACATTGTAAAGCAATTATACTCCAATAAAGATGTTAAAAAAAAATCCTATTGCTTATATACAGCAGAAACTAACACAACATTGTAAAGCAATTATACTCCAATAAAGATGTTAAAAAAAAATCCTATTGCTTATATACAGCAGAAACTAACACAACATTGTAAAGCAATTATACTCCAATAAAGATGTTAAAAAAAAATCCTATTGCTTATATACAGCAGAAACTAACACAACATTGTAAAGCAATTATACTCCAATAAAGATGTTAAAAAAAAATCCTATTGCTTATATACAGCAGAAACTAACACAACATTGTAAAGCAATTATACTCCAATAAAGATGTTAAAAAAAAATCCTATTGCTTAGTTGAACCTTAAATTTTATTCCCTGGACATTTTTTTAAAATCCCTGGTTAGATTAATTTTAAGTAGATCACTGTAGAATTCAGTAGGCTGGAGATTGAGATTAGTCAGATATTAGCTAATTGCTAAAACCAGTACAAACCAAGGTGGCACAGCTCTTCCGTGTTACTATACACTTCAAGTGATGCAACAGTGTTTTCTCTTTTGCAGGTTGGATCAGATAGTAATTCACGTGGGAGCACTGAGCTTGAAGGAGTCACAAGAACTGGTATGTATGTGGGTCCATCTGGGAGAGACCACTTGAGGGGCCTCCACCTTTATGCTGGAGTTAAAATCAATATCATTTTTGCTAAATATTGGATGCTGGAGAGTATAAGGTGTAGGACTGCAGGGAAGCCGACACAGAGCCATAAAGAGAGTAGCCCAAGGTGATAACTGCTGTAGCAGAGCGTTGAATAGGAGACAGAGGCACCTCTTCTTTTGGGCAAAGTAAGGATGGGTAAGGAGCGACCTAGTTTGCAGGTAAGGAACAGAACTTGAGCCAACCTAAGTTTTCTCTGGGATGTAAAAGGCAAGCCCATCTGCTGGGCATAAAGGAGATGGAAATGGGGTTCAGAAATGAGAAGTGGTAAAAACTGAGAATTGCTGCCTGCAGAATGGAAGAGAAAACTTAAACAGAAAAAGATTGTCCCCACCCATGTTTATAGCAGCAGTTCATGAGGTCGAAGCAACCCAAATGCCCATGGACAGATGAATGGATAAAGAAAAGGTGGTATATACATACAATGGAATGTTATTCAGCCTTAAAAAGGAAGCAAATCCGTCTTGTCACATGCTACAATAGGGGTGAACCTCCTTGAGAACATTATGTTAAGTGAAGTAAGCCAGTCACTAAAGACAAATACTATATTATTATTCTTATACTATGAGGTATCTAAAGTAGTGAAATTCATAAAAACAGAATTAGAGTTAGTCCTGCTAGGGACTAGGGGGAGGGGGAAAGAAGAGTTGTTTAAGGGGTATAAAGTTTGTCATCTGCGAAAAAGCAGCAGACTGTAAAACAAAGAAATGCATTTATTAGGGGTCTTTTTTTAAAAGTTGAAGTGTGGTTGATGTACAGTGTTGTGTTAGTTTCTGGTGTACAGCAGTGATTCAGTTTTATATTTATATAGATAGATAGATTAAGCAGTTATTGCCTTCAAAATTCTGTTGCTTGGTTGAACCTTAAATTTTATTCCCTGGACATTTTTTTAAATCCCTGATTAGATTAATTTTTAGTAGACCACTGTAGAATTTAGGAGTCTTGAGATTGAGATTTTTTTTTTTTTTTTTTTTGCTGCATTGGGTCTTCGTTGCTTCGTGGGCTTTTCTCTAGTTGTGGCAAGCAGGGGCTACTCTTCGTTGCGGTGTGCGGGGCTTCTTATTGCGGTGGCTTCTCTTTTTGCGGAGCACAGGCTCTAGGCACGCGGGCTTCAGTAGTTGTGCTTGTGGACTCTAGAGTGCAGGCTCAGGAGTTGTGGCGCATGGGCTTAGCTGCTCCGCGGCGTGTGGGATCTTCCCAGACAAGGGATCAAACCCGTGTCCCCTGCATTGGCAGGTGGATTCTTAACCACTGCACCACCAGGGAAGTCGCCGAGATTGAGATTAGATATTAGCTAACTATTAAAACCAGCATAAACCACAATAGTGCAGCCCTTCGTGTTAATATAAACTTCAAGTGATGCAACAGTGTTTTTTCTTTTGCAGGATCAGATATATTAAGTGTTTGTTGTTTATTTTATATAAAGTAGTGTGTATCTGTTAATTCAGCATGGATGGACCTAGAGAATATCATACTAAGTGAAGTAAGGCAGAGAAAGACAAATACCATATGATATTACTTATATGTGGAATCTAAAAAAATGATACAAATGAACTTATTTACAAAGCAGAAACAGACTCACAGACATAGAAAACAAATTTATGGTTATTTGGAGTCTTAGAATTACAATTCAGGGAGCACAGATACCAGCAACCACCAGAACAGTGTCCCCTCTGGGAAACAAAAGGCAGGAGTTTTTAAAGGAAAACAGAGAAGCACATTTAGTTTCCAAAAGTTTTTTTGTGAAGAGTTGTGACTGGAAGGTATGTATTCTTTTTTTTTTTTTTCCTATTACAACTTATTGACTCATCAAGTGTGTTTCACTTGTTATCAGTAAAGGCACACTTCTGCACAGTTCCGCAGGATGCCTTTCTCAACAGAGAGCCGCTTCTTTTTTTTTTTTTTTTTTTTTTTTTTACGTCAGCAGGGTCAGCACAGTCACAGTTTAACAGGATGGAGCCCTAAAGTATAAAATGAAGTTTCTGCTGACAGCTCCTTCCAAAACTTTCAGATCTGCAAGATGAAAAAGTTCTAGGGTTCTGTTTCACAACAATGTGAATATACTTAACAGCAGTGAACTGTACACTTAAAAATGGCTAAGATGGTGAATTTTTTTTAATTTTTATTTTTTGACCCCACTGCATGGCTTGCGGGATCTCAGTTCCCCGACCAGGGACTGAACCCAGGCCACAGCAGTGAAAGCCCGGAATCCTAACCACTAGGCCACCAGGGAACTCCCAGTGTTGTGTTTTTCTTGGTCACAATTTTGAAAAATAAATTTAAAAGTAATTAATTTTTTTAAAAGGATTGCCCCAGTGGTGCTAAAAACCAACCAAAGTTGTAAGTCATAAATTTGTCATACCACCACTCCACACAGGTGTGGAGATTTTCTTCTAGGTACACTGTTCAACCAGAACATAGGAACAGGAACTCAAAGACTGTATTGCTCTGGGTTTAGAGATGAGCAGGTTAGGTGGAGTAATAGTGTGGCAAGGGAGGAAGGAGTTAAAGTTGCTAGCAGAAAAGTAAACCATGTGGTGGTTTTGAGGTCTTTGTGAATCAAGTAAGAAAAGAAAGCACAAAGATGTTGTAGCTTGGACTGTCGACTGAAAAAAAATGTACAACCTAAAAGTTGAGAATTATGTTTTTATTCAGCAGACTTACTGAGGACTTAAGCCTGGGATACAGCCACTCAGCAAGCTCTGAGGGACTGTTCCAAAGAGGTAAGGGAGGAGCCTGGATGTATAGGAGTTTTTGGCTGGAAAAAAAAAAAAATGTAGTTGAACATCAAAAGATTATTGCTAATCACAAAAACACGCATCTCAAGTTAATGATTTTAGTGTTTTCTTGTATGGTAAGGTGCAAGAAGAGATCGGGCTTATTGAAACCATTCCTTTGATATGCATGTTTTTCTCCATCCTGAGTTCCCCTTAGGTCGCACCGACCTGGTGCCTGCAGTGGCTGATGGCTGTTTGGCCAAAGCATCCTCTGTTTACTGAAATGGCAGGGACATTCTTTGTCCACATAACCATGTCCTCAGAATTTAGATATTCTAATTCCAAAGAGCCCAGTGACTTGATCTAACTCCAACATCTTCTTGTGGGTTTTGTTTGATTCTGTTTCCTATTAATTGAATTTAGAAATGGAATGTATACTGTATAGTTGCAAAACTGCAATTCAACACTCTTAGGCAAACCACTAGGGAAGACGTTACTAGGTGATTGCTTAGTAAGCCTAGAATCAGAACTTGGAAACTTGATTTATCCTTTTTACACTTGATTTGTTCTTCTTAACAGTAGATCTTTCAACTATGGTAGTGTAATGGAGGAAATCTCTTTTTTTTTCCTTCTCTTTTCAATTGCTTTCTTCTATGCGTCATGTGAGTTTTAAAATATTGTCGTGTCATGACATGACAGACAGTGTCAACCACGGGGTTCAACACTAGAATAGTATAAAGATAATCTTAGTATAGAGATAATCCCCTGCTATAGGGATAATCCCCTGCTGTGGGATAATCTTGCCAAGGAGACAGTAATATTGGCATCTGCTTAGACATAACTCTCCATTGGATGATGCTTGAATGGGCACTGCCATCAACTGTCTCTGAAGTGGTTTCTTTTCCTTCCTTTCAGCTAAGGTTACCCTACTACTCTTGTCCTAAACAAGGTGCTAAATAAATGATTCAAATATATCAATTCCAATCCTGTGTCAATAAAATCCTATCCAATGTCTTGATTGTTCTTTGGACTATATTCCCAATCTCTTTTTGACTCTCCTACTTTACTTCTGCAGAAAGTTAATCACATCTATTAGATATAGCTATCACTAGCTTAAGTCTCAGAGGAAAGCCGTTTTTCCCTTTTGGGTAGTGGGGCATGTTTCAAAGCAATCAACAACATCTACTGAGTCCTGCTATATGCTCAGCGCCATGATTGACCTGAACACAAGAGTCAATAAGATCTGCCCTCTGCCCTCAGGGAAGTCACTCTAGTTGGAGACCAGTAACTAAACACATCTGCTTCACAATGTGTTAGGTTTAAGTACTCTACTTGAAATAGATAAAAAATATTATGAGGGCCCAGTGGGAGGAAATGTTCATTTTTTCTGAAGGAATGTGAGTAAATATCAAAAGAGTAGTGCAGTGTATCTTCTGTGATATGTATAATCTTTTTCTTCTCAGCCTTTCTCAACTGCATTTCCAATCTGTAATATAAATTTTAAAATATGACTATTATATCTTGGGAGAGGAAAGACAGTATCATCCAGTGGGCTGAACACTAGAAGAGAAAGGACATCTGCAAGTTTCTCTATAATTAAGTTATAGTTTCTCAAAATGAACTGCTCATGTCTCCTTAGCAAGTTTTTTTTGTACTGACAAAGTCTGCAGAAGAATAAGATTAAATACACAGCTCACCTCCACCAGGGGTCTCTACTTTGCAACCTGGGATTTTCCTGGTAATGACATTTATCATTAAATGTGGTAGTTTTCCACTCTCTAGTGGTACATCGGTTGGCAAATTTGAAGTGTTTGTTGTTAACCTCTAGTATCTAAGCTGTAGGTGACTATAACAAATCGTTTACTCCAGGATGGTTGTGAAATTGTGATCTATAACAAGAAATAGATATTTGGTCTTTGTCCCATTTCTGGCACAGAGCTCCAAAACCCTTGGAATTCCCGGAGATGAGAACAATAAAGGTGTCTCTTGTTATGTTAATGAGGTGACTTTTAGAAAGCACCTAAGGATGGGGGCTGGTTGCCAAGAGTACCAGGTGTGAAAATTAGGGGGTTGGAACTTTCAGTTACGGTTGATATGATCAACCCTATTTGAACCAATCCCCAGTGGCCGATGATATAATCAATCATGCCTATGTAGTAAAGCCTCCATGAAAACGCCAAAGGACGGATTTCAAAGAGCTTCCAGTTTTGTGAACTTGTGGAGATTTGGGGAGGGTGGTGCACTCGCACTGAGAGAAGACATGGAAGTGTTGTGCCCTTTCCCCATGCCTTGCCCTATGCATCTCTTCTATCTGGCTGTTCCTGAGTCGTATCCTTTTATAAAAAGCCAGTGATCTCATAAGTAAAATGTTTCCCTGAGTTCTGTGAGCGTCCCCAACAAATTAATTGACCCAAGGAGGGGGTTGCTGGAACCTCTAATTTATAGCCCATAGGTCAGGAGCACAGGTGATAACCTGGCATTTGAAATGGGGGTAGGGAGCTAGTCTTGTAGGACCGAGCCCTTAACATGTATCTCCAGATAGATAGTGTCAGAGTTGAGTTGAATTGTAGGAAACCCAGCTGGTGTTTGAGAATTGCCTTTTGAGGTGGAGAAAACCCCACATTCACACACATCAGAATTGTGACCAATGGTCTTCTTTCTTCTTTTAAAGGCCCAACATGCAGCAAAAATAGGAGCCGATGGCATCGCTGTCATTGCACCTTTCTTTCTCAAGCCATGGAACAAAGGTAGGTAGATAGGTCAAAACGCACAGTGCTGTACATGGTCTACTTCTTTATTCCTTCATTCCAAATGGTTGTATTTAACTCATGAAAGTAAAGTCTTATGGACTGGAGGCATGAAGTTGCAATGGTACAGTAGTTCTCCGGAATATTCAGCCTCCCTGGACCCATAAAAGAGAAGAAAAGACTCCATTAAAGGACTTCAGCTCTTTTGTCAAGTAATCTGAGTAGGTCATCCACCAAGTCCTGGGTCAACCTACAGGTGCCTGTGTTTGGGTCAGGTGTCCACTTTTGGCCAATCAGTTGCATAGAGTGTCAGAGTCACATGGCAAAGCATGAGACCATTTTTCTCAACAAAAGAGGAATATAAGTAATGGGCATTTTGAGACTGCATGTACTATTCAAATTTGAGTAAGTGATGAATTTGAAAAGAGATTTCACAGAAATATCCATTGTCTTCCAAAATATCAAATTATTGTTTTCTCTATGGAAACTATTTGTGGTTTCCAGGTATACTGAGTCTTTTTAATCCTTTTGATTAGAAAAATGCAGTACAAATTTTAAAAGGATTAAAAACAGACAAAATGTTATTCACATGCATGATTAAACAAATCCATAGCTAAATGTATAACAGGTCAAAATTATCATGAAATATTACCTGTTATCAGTAAAATAGTCGTTAATATTGGTAAATAATTTAAATACTGCTATTTGGGAAATTTAGAATGAACATTTTAAAAGTTTTTTTCAGATGGTTTTAAAAAATTTTGTATAAATACGTTTTGCATAAGACAAATGAAAAATAACAAATAATACACATAATTTTGTCAAAACATTTATTATCACAGTTTTTCAAATGTGTTCATAAGCTTCTCTCCCACTATTCAGTGGCATCCAGATGTAAGTAATTCTGCTGGATTTATTTATCATCTGTAGTAATGTTGCTGCTGAAGCTCAAATTGGATGATGTAGAAAATCCCAATTCCTCAGTAAACCAGAGTGAACTGTCTTCTGATATATCTGAATTTCTCTCCAAAACGGAAAGGTACCAAACTCTGGTTGAGATGTGCCACTACTTTTATGACTTCCCATTTTGAGCAGATGTTGTTTATCTTTTTGTTGTAGAATTTACTGTTACAACTTTCTGATCTTAATGCAAAGTCTTTGCTGTTCACTGACCACACTTACCCTTCTGGGTAAGAGGAAAACGATCCTGCCTGATGAGCTTCTGATTTTTGTAAGAGTATTTCATGAGCTTCTCTTAATATGTGGGAAGATTTGCACCAGTTTTTTAATAGCTCTTTAGTATGGTAGGAAACTGGTCCTCTTATTTTGGCCTTTCTACAGAGAGGAAAATAAAACTTTGAATAAAGTGAATTGCAAAGACATTGCAGTAGCAGTCTCAGAGATGGTAAGAGTGGTCAAGAATTTTTGGCTGCCAGAAAGGATGGTTGCATTTCATTAGACGGTTCTTTTTTTTTTTTTTGGCTGCGCGGCCTGTGGGATCTTAGTTCCCCGACCAGGGATCAAACCCATGCCCCCTACATTGGAAGCATGGAGTCTTAACCACTGGACCGCCAGGGAAGTCCCAAGGTTCAGTTTTTACTGGGGAAAGCCAGTGTTTTACACTTGTTCACACCATGACTTTTCCTGCTCTTCTTTCAGATGTCCTGATTAACTTCCTAAAGGAGGTGGCCGCTGCTGCCCCTGCACTGCCGTTTTACTACTATCACATTCCTGCCTTGACAGGGGTAAAGAGTAAGTATTGCTTCTTTTCATGTTTCTTCACCTTCACCTCTCACATCATACCCTATTTCACTAAGAAACCCCGACTCCACCCCACCTCACCCTGTATCACAAAAGCATAAGACAGTTGATTAGATGGTTCCAACAGCTCCAAAATAACTCACTCTTATCAAAAATAAGTCAGCCCTTACCAATCATTGACACCACCTTATAAAGGAAGATTTTTAAGTATGAAAGACGAGTTGACCCCTACGTACTTGTAGCAGACAACTTGTGTCTGTCACACACACCTCTCCGTCTTATGTGGGAAGACATAGCCTGTAAGCCCCACTAAGACAGGGATTGGGTCTACCTTGTACCCTACTGTGTTCTCAGCACCTGGCACACAGGAAGGTACTCCGATCTCTTCTCCCTTTTCTTTTAGGTTTTCTTTTAGGTTTTCTTTTATCGTTATCGTACTTCTCCAGCAAGAAGATTTTGTTACAGTTAGATGAAATTTAGTAGGAGGTTATTTTTAAAATGCCATTCCTTTCTAACTTCCTTAGAAGAAAAAATAGAAGTTGTGCTTTATAAATATCCATCTATTGTCTTCAAGGAACAGAAGATTTAGGGTTACAATTTGATAAGTACAGGGGAACTAGGAGGCAAGGGCAAGTGATTATGTTCAGTGTGTTCAATCTGCAGCCAGTTGCAGCTGAGAGCAGCCCCTGGCAGCTCAGTGCAGATGTGTGGCGCTAGATGAGATGTTCTCTGTTATTTTCTGGGGGTGTACCGGTGAATGAGACATTTATTGTTTTGAACAGTTCGTGCTGAGGAGTTGTTGGATGGAATTCAGGATAAGATCCCCACCTTCCAAGGGCTGAAATTCAGTGACACAGATCTCTTAGACTTCGGGCAATGTGTTGATCAGAATCGCCAGCAACAGTTTGCTTTCCTTTTTGGGGTGGATGAGGTAAGTTTCCCCCTGGCATATCCCAGCAGGTTAGTTTCCCTCTGCAACAATTGATGTAGCCGCTTATATAGTAGCATCTTTTCTCTTCTCTTTTTCATCAAAGTTAATAATCTTTGTCTGTTTCTGATCAGCAACTGTTGAGTGCTCTGGTGATGGGAGCAACTGGAGCAGTGGGCAGGTAAGCAGGACTCATTTTTCCCAATGCTTATTAGTGTAAAATCCCCCACAGAGGCAGTCATCACCTGCGCAGTTGCATTTCTTGCAAGTACACCTTTTCTAATAGAAATTGCCTTTCTTTGCCACATTCTCTTAGTGAAAAGGAATGAACTAGGGCTTAGCCCTTGGTTAGCGACTCAGTCACTCTTATAAGAAGCATCTGTTGCAGTTAGGGGTGAGGCACAGAAGCTGAGAGCATGCACAGAACTTCTTTATCAGAAATTATTTGGGGCTTCCCTGGTGGCACAGTGGTTGAGAGTCCACCTGCCGATGCAGGGGACACGGGTTCGTGCCCCGGTCCGGGAGGATCCCACATGCCGCGGAGTGGCTGGGCCCGTGAGCCATGGCCGCTGAGCCTGCGCGTCCGGAGACTGTGCTCCACAACAGGAGAGGCCACAACAGTGAGAGACCCATGCACTGCAAAAAGAAAAAAAAAGAAGAAGAAGAAATTATTTGGTTACAAATAACAGAAAGCCATTCAAACTAGCTTATGTGAAAGAAGGTAAGTTATTATAAAATACTGGGAAATTTCATAAAACCCAAGGGGAGGAAGTGCAGTGAGGTCTCAGAGAAGATGAGAACCTAAAACTACAAAGCTCTCAACAGCCAAGGCAGATCGTTCTCCACCTGTGGTCCTTTGGACATCCCTTTATTTGCCTTTCTCTCCAGATGGGCTTTCTCTGCTTCAGCATGCATGTGACCAGTCATGGGGTCCAAATGGGGCATCTCAGGATATCACTGGATAGTACTGCCAAGTCAGGTGTCCATGTAAGGTCCAGTCAGCTGCAGCTAGGAAGGTAGAATCATGTGGCCTGATGTCTACTCAGCAGAAGGCCTAGGGACGTTCAATTTGGCATGTCCACTGCACATGTTAACCTAGTTTAGTAGCAATGTGCCTGCAAGCAGATTGACTGAACTATTTACATTAACTGAAAGTGTATTTCCTCCCTGTGGGAAAAGTACAGGGGAAGCAAAGTAATACTCATAGCATATCTTGGTGAGCATGGCTTTGATGAAGAGTAGTTGGGTTGGATGTAATGGTAAGTAATGGTTTGTTCACTGAGCCAGGATGCCTGCAACATCTATCATCACTACAGGCCATTTCCTCCAAGGAAACCTGAATGCCTGGATCTGCTGACCTTGGAAATTCTTACTTTTTTTTTTTCTGGCCCCCATACTAGGCATTTTTATTCTGTCAACAGAATCTGAAAGCAAAGTAAATTTGATTACACTTCATTCCTCCTTAATTATGATCACATTCCTCTCTAAATGAGGATACGTCTGAGACCCCTGGGATTCAAATTAGAGTATTCTGAAACCCCTTAGACATTCATGCACATCTTGCGACTTTGGGTGTTTCACATCTGCAGGTAACTTATCTCAATGATTATATTTTATTCTTCCCTACTTTTTTTTTTTTTTTTTTTTTTTTGTGGTACACGGGCCTCTCACTGTTGTGGCCTCTCCCGTTGCAGGCCCAGCGGCCATGGCTCACGGGCCCAGCCGCTCCGCGGCATGTGGGATCTTCCCGGACCAGGGCACGAACCCGCGTCCCCTGCATCGGCAGGCGGACTCTCAACCACTGCACCACCAGGGAAGCTGTTCCCTACTTTTTTACGAGAAGATAGTGTGAACTTCATATTCTCGGAATGCCTTGTATTGACTCCAGGGACTACATTTATGAAGTACCAACAATATTCTGTTCCTGGTACCAAGATGAAGCTCTTTTCTGATCCTGAGTTACTGTAGGAGAAGTCATTAGAAACTGGGGAAACATCTTTGTTCTGAATTTCTAGAACCTTCTACCTTGCTGGTTTCTCTAAGAATTCAGTGATTAGTCTAAGATATTTGTCTTTATTGGTAGAGTTAAAGATTCTTTTTTAAGTCAGCAAGAACATTTTATGATATCAAATAACGTTCTCATCTCCATTTTTTCTGAAATGTAATAGAATAAGCAGTATGAAGGGATGGTAAGCTTCTCGACAACTCTGTAGCCCTTCTTTGAGACATAGTTTCTTCACAGCAAAATGGAAACCACACCTACCTCACAGGGCTCTGAGAGGATTAGACATGGTTTATGTCAGGTACCTGGAATACAATAGTCAATAAATGGTCCTCTTATTATTATTATCCGTATTAATATTATTATTAGAAACTAGTCTCTGGGTAACATATAACTTGGCAAAGAATTTAGATAATCTGCTAGTATTTGCCCCTTTTACTGTGGTGCTACATTCACCCAGTTCCTCAGCATAGGGTTTTTAGGACCCACCTCAGATACTACATTTTTTTTTCTAATTTTTATTTATTTATTTATTTATTTATTTTTGGCTGTGTTGGGCCTTCGTTGCTGTGCGAGGGCCTTCTCTAGTTGCGGCGAGCAGGGGCCACTCTTCATCGCAGTGTGCGGGCCTCTCACTCTCGCGGCTTCTCTTGTTGCGGAGCACAAGCTCCAGATGCGCACGCTCGGCAGTTGTGGCTCACGGGTCTAGCTGCTCCGCGGCATGTGGGATCTTCCCAGACCAGGGCTCGAACCCGTGTCCCCTGCATTGGCAGGCAGACTCTCAACCACTGTGCCACCACGGAAGCCCTCAGATACTACATTTTATCCGCAGTTCTTACCTAGCATTGCACCTCTGTGTGTGCCCTGGGCCAGGTGTTGCCCTCAATCACTCCTTGCCAAATACACCTCTGTCTTTCACTTTTTTTCTTTTTTCTAACTTTACCCTTTTTCTATTTTTCTCCCTTTTCTTTATTCCTTTTGGTGTTCTCTGCATCCTCTGCACTGCTTAGTGTTGCTGGAAAACTCAGAACTGAAGACACCTGATCCTTTAATAGATTAGGGCCTAAAAATAGACTTCTGGAAGGCTTGGTAGATTTTTCCCTTTTGAGCATTAGAGGGGTTTGAAGAGCTGGACCTTCTCGCTAAGTTATTGATCCTGCAGATGTGCTGTTTTCTTTCCAGTACCTATAACTACCTGGGAAAAAAGACAAACCAGATGTTGGAGGCTTTTGAACGGAAGGACTTCTCCTCGGCCCTGAACCATCAGGTTAGCTTTCTTTTCCCTTCATATAAATCACAGCCTTTTTTCTTTCCCACTTGAGAATTCTTATTTTCTCTCACCAGCATTCCTACCACACCTGCCCTCCTTAAGATTGCCTAGCTGCTTCTTTCTGTGCTTTCCTTCTTTTTCTTGTTTAAAACCAAACCTGTGCCCATTATCCATGTTTCCTGTATGTCTTATCAGGACAGGCCCCACACAGGAATGACTCCTTTCTGTTCTTCCTAGAAATGATCTTATTTTTAGTCTACATTCAAAGTATTTTTATGACTGTGAAATAATGGTGATAGATTTTGGGGGAAATGACCACATGCCATCCCCTTGAGAACTTCACACCTGAGTCACCAGAGTATATAAGGAAGCTATGAGGCTGGTGATCTAAAAAGGGGAGACTTAATCCAAAGTCAGAGCAGGTCAGTCCTCTTTGCCCTGGAAAGGTGCTGAGAACTGAAAACATTCACCAGGCAGGAAACAAGAGCCGAATAGGTGATCCAAAAGGAGACACTGGCTTTGAAACAGGAAGAGAAAAGCAGCAGGATCTGCTTTACCCCAGCGTAGACCCCTGGGGGAAACGGTGGCTGCTGTTAACGTTACAGGGAGGACAGCCTAGCTGTCCAGAGAAGGAAGAGCCTCACCGAAGGGTAGAACCGGCCCCACAGCTGGTAGTGTGTATACGTTAGGTAAACAGAATAAGGTGGGAAGAAATAGGGTAGGCACTACAGAGAGACTTCTGGAGGCCGAGAGGCCCAGGAACTTTCAGGATCATAAAAGTGACTGAGAGGAGTGTCCCAAGAAAATGAGTGAGAATGAAAGGCATAAGCAAGATCAGAGCAGGTGGTCAGTCCCAGTAAGTTTAGATAAGGGATCTTTTGAACAGGACGGGCCACCATCAGGGCAGTCAGAAATTACAGAGCAGAAGTCACAAAGCATCCTGGAGGTTTGAGGGAGTGAACCTGAGCTCCAACCAAGAAGAGAACAGGAGGAAGCTGTTGCCAGCAGTAATTAAATACATCCCTACCCTTTAACCCTGAACACTGAGCAAGCCTAAATCTACTTCCTACTTAACTTAAAGCTTAAATAGCTTATTTAATATTCACCTTTATTCAGCCACAGACCAGGAACAGCGTAAGGACTTAGGAAGCTATGTCAACTAGATTAAACATTGGCAAGACTTTGGTTTAGATTAAGATATGAAGTCTGAATTGTGTGGACTCTGCCATCTCTTTTCTTTTTTTTTAATTAGTTTGTTTATTTATTTATTTATTTATTTATTTATTTATCTTTGGCTGCCTTGGGTTTTCGTTGCTGTGCGCGGGCTTTCTCTAGTTGTGACAAGCGGGGGCTGCTCTTCGTTGCGGTGCGCAGGCTTCTCATCGCGGTGGCTTCTCTTGTTGCGGAGCACGGGCTCTAGGCATGCGGGCTTCAGTAGCTGTGGCATACGGGTTCAGTAGTTGTGGCTCGCGGGCTCTAGAGCACAGGCTCAGTTGTTGTGGTGCACGGACTTAGTTGCTCTGCAGCACGTGGGATCTTCCCGGACCAGGGCTTGAGTCTGTGTGCCCTGCATTGGCAGGTGGATTCTTAACCACTGCGCCACCAGGGAAGTCCCTGCCATCTTTTCTCATATACGATTTTCTTTTTCCTAAGTTTCCCAGGAAAAATTATTTCTGAAAATTTCAACCTGTTCTGAGCTGAATGATGTGAAAATCGTAGGATGGAGTAAACTGTGAAACAGCTGTGATACAGAACCTTTCCACTTAGTGGTTTCTTTTATTGGCTGTTTCAATTTCCATCTCTTTCTTTTTTTTCTTTTAGTCCTACTCAAATAAATCACCTCACCCAAAACAGTATTGGTAAGCAGTTTAGTTTACCACATTCTGTTTTTTCTTACAGAAAGCAAGTGTGAGCAGGTCTCATTTACTCACTTATTAATATACCATGGGCTGAACTGAATATATAATTTCAATAAAACTGGTCTCTGCCCTAAAGGAGTTTGCAGTCAAGTGAAGAAACAGATAAATAAAAAGTTAGGGCTAAACTTACTCATTCTCATGGACTTTATTTTTGGCTGTGTTGGTCTTCGTTGTGGCGGCGAGCGGGAGCTACTCTTCGTTGCAGTGCGTGGGCTTCTCATTGCAGCGGCTTCTCTTGTTGCAGAGCACGGGCTCTAGGTGCGTGGGCTTCAGTAGTTGTGGCGCACAGGCTCAGTAGCTCCGCGGCATGTGGGATCTTCCCGGACCAGGGCTCGAACCCATGTCCCCTTCAGTGACAGGCAGATTCTTAACCACTGTGCCACCAGGAAGTCCATCATTCTCATGGACTTAAATGCCATCTGTTACATTTACAAAGTGAAATGACACATGTACAGAGATATTCCTTATAGCATTGTTTATACTAGCAAAAGATAGAAACAGCCCAAATATCCACCCATAAGGAAATAGTTAAATACATTATGTTTGAGTTATTTAATGGAATTATATACAGCCCTTTAGAAGGATGAGATACTTTTATATGCACACATCTGGAGAGATCTCCATGATACATTAAGTGTAAAAAAAAGCAACAAAGTAGAGACTTCTGAATGTAATGTGCCATACTTTGTGTGTTAGGGAATAAAAGAACATGTGCATTTATGTTTGTAAGGCTTGATATCAAAATTTTATTCTGCATTGGCTTTTTTATTACTAGTATACAATTGATTAAAACAACATAAAAGTGAAATGTTATTGAAAATCCGTCTCTTGATGAGATGAATGGGAATCTTTTTTTTTAAGAATTGCTTCATGAATTTGTGGATGAATATCCTTTAATGCTAGGATGAGTTAAAGTTCAGCATCAATACTATTTCTGTTTTTTGCTTTTATAAAAATAAGTGCTGTGATACCCTGTTTATATATATTAGTAGATAAGAATGGAAGAAACTTTGGTATAGCAATGTCACTCAGTTCTTTGAGCAGTTTTTGAGTCATATGCTTGATCATTTAATGATTTTCAACTGACAACCTGAATCACAACATTAAAAGCAAAGTTGAAAGGAAAAAATTGAAAACCTTATGATTCTTTAGAGGACTTGTTATCCATTAATTAAAGGAATCACTCTGTCAGCTCTCTTTGTGGATGCCAATACCAACATTTTGATTTGCTCCTTTATTTGGTTCCCAGAGGTGTCCCAAGGCAGTGATATAAGAGGTATGTCTTTATTTTTTTCAAAAGTAGAAGACTGAAAAGGGAAATATAAAAGGACAAGCTACACCTCCATTATGTGCAACTTCTTATTCTGATCAGTTTTAGAAATAGCACTTACGGAAGTTGAGGGTCTAGAAATTGCCATAAATCTTAGCCTTGACCAAGTGTCCCTGAGGTATCCTGGAAAGTACCCTAGAGGTTAGAGTACCCCAGTTTGGAAACTGCACTAGCTGATAAGTTTACCTCTGTAACCTAGGAGGGTAAAGGTTACCGTCCCCATCCTAACTCTCTATTGTACAATTCCTTCATTGGAGCTTCTTTTCTTCATGGGCTCATTTCATAAAAGCTTATATATATGAAAAGATCCTACCTTATCCTGGGTAGATCTCAGTCATCCTCACTTGGCTGTTCTCCACTCCAACAGACCCTCAGAAAACTAAGGTGTGTGGACTTTGTAGTTTGGGGTTTCTGCACTTTGACCTCTAAATTCTTTAAATTATCACAGTTTAGTAATTACTGACTATAGATTTGTTTGTTCCTTTCCAGTTTTGTATTCAGAGATTTATCAACTTTGTGGCCAAACTAGGTAAGTTTCCCTCTTTGTCTCCTACTGGAGAGTGTAAAGGAAATAGACTTTCTCTGAGGGTTTCAGAGAAGGTGATGAGGGACTTTCATCACTTTCTCTGAGGGTTCAACAAGAACACCTTTTAATCAGCTGCAAGCAAAGTTTTATTCCTAATACTAACTTCCAGGGCCAATCCTATAAAATGGTGAAGTAAACCTAGTTGGAAGGTCTTGGCAACCTTCTACAAATCTCTCTCCTCCAGCTAAGCACTTTGTTCACCTCCCCACTCTGCTCACACACCATTTTTTTTAACCCCTTCTCTCCTACACCATCAACACTCCCTCCCTTTACTTGCCTCTGCTCATTAAAATTCTACTACCACACTATAACTGATTTAAGCCCAAGTGTTTAGAGGAAGGCAGTTTGAATACAGATCTTACTAAACTGTGAATGACTGACAGCTCTCCCAAGAGTATCTGCAATTTTAAAAGAGTTTATTAACACAAGTAAGCTTAAATGGATGGAGGTTTGAATAATATGACAGTGTAAAGTTTGAGGGAAATACAGTGAATTTGAGTAGAGAAACCTCTCCACAGTCTCCTAAGTCTTATCCCATAACAAATGATAAATGCCCCTATTCACTCCACTTCTGCAAGAGATTGGCCCTTCCTGAGGACCTGGGTCAAGTCCAGGAAAAGTTTTAGGTTTATTCTTGGCAGACCTCCTACCTTCCTTTCAGAGCCTTTCTGCCTCTTCCTGGCAGCTCCTCCCAAGCCCTAAGCACCTATTATGTACTATGCCCCTCATTCTTGCAGGATTTTTCAGCCAACTCTTTATCCTTCAAAGAGAGTACTGCCCATTTGCTTTTCCACTTGGATGATTTTTGTCATATTTGTGTACCACCAGTACTATTATTACCTAATATCATTCCCTTGTCCTAAGGAATACTTCTCACAAAATCGTGGGTTTAGCATATGTTCCTAAAATGCATTAAAGTAGATTTTGAACTACTACTGGTTCTATAGTTTTTTAAAGAACTAAACGTTTACCTGTACATGTAAGATCCCTTTGCATACCGGCAGTGATTCTGCAGTAGTTTTGTAAAGTATAGCTGTAAGGTATTAGCTGAAAGGATTTACTCTTTTGCCAGATTTTGGCATTTTAAAAGAGGCCTCTTGAAGACAGTTTTTATGATCTAAAAGAACATATCTTTAAAGAGCTCACTTCAGACTTCCTTGGGGGTTGGAGTTTTCATGGTTTAGTCAAAGAAAGACTTGTTTTTTTCTTTCGTTTTTTTGAGATAAAACTGACATGCAGCACTGTATAACTCTGTTTCTGTTTTATTATGTTTGTTCATTTTTTGTTTTTTAGATTCCACGTATAAGTGAAATCATACAGTATTTGTCTTTTTCTGTCTGACTTATTTCACTTAGCATAATACCCTCTAGGTCCATCTGTGTTGTCACAAACAGCAAGATTTCATTTTTTTATGGCTGAGTAATATTCCATTGTATATAAGAGAGACTTAATCTTAATAAACATGATAAAGCCTTATCATGAAGGTAGCTCTCAATCTTCCACCATTCATAATAAGCCTAGGAGGGCCATTTTGCATTTAGCAAAGTATATTCTATATATTTAGCCAAGCTAGTATTTTTCTTCCCAATGCTCAATTGTTACTGTAACCAAATTACCTTAGTAAAAGAAAGTTACTTCTCATACCTTTGATCCAAGAGCAATAGCTAGTTAAGAAAACAAATATCTTCCTGTGCTATATTCTGGATTACTTCCTTAAATCTACCTTCAGAATCACTAATTCTATCTTTAGCTATGTTTTCTACTGTTTAGTTTTACTGATTATATATTTTTAATTTCTAGCATTTCTTTTTGGCTTTTTCTTCCAGATCTTCCAGTTCCTTATTTATATGCCCTTCTCTTAGCCTATGGCTTCTATTCTTACGTTTATCTCTGTGAAGCCTCTTTCAGAATTTTGTATCATCTTTTCTCAGGATGTAAAATTTGTCAGTTGTGCATTTGCTGTCTCTCATGCAGCTCCTTTTTCCTCGTGTGCTTTGTAATTTTTAACTCTGATTTCATCTTCAGAGACAGCTGTTTTCTGGAGAATCCATTGTACTCTAGGTTGTGAGTTGTCCCATCAAATGATTTTACATTTGCCTCTGCTAGGACACTATAGTTTCATCAGTTCTAACCAGTCTTTAGGTATATTTCTTAGTATGGTTCCTGTACCAAGCACATAATGCAAATACGGATCCAGCATTCATATATGGCACAGGCTTGGGATTTCATTTATATGATCTTTTTCCTTCCACACCCTGGCAGAAGTCATGCTTCCTTGCCTCTCAGACCAGTGGGCCAGTTTTTTTTCTATTGCTCTTCATAGAAGGCTGGCCACCAATTTTATATGGGGAGTTTAATTCCAGCTCTTTGCTGTGTACAGACTCAAGGCTTCATCTTGCATTCCTGATTTTATATGGGGAGTTTAATTCCAGCTCTTTGCTGTGTACAGACTCAAGGCTTCATCTTGCATCCCTGCCCTAGTCTAAAACAGCAGCATTGAGTCATAAACTACCTTAAATAGTGCATTTCTCAGGGACTTCTTAGATTTGTTTGAACTAAATTGTGACCTAGTGACCAAGTCCTACATCATTCAATCCACAACAGTGTATCCCTGAATCAGATTATCCTCATGGACCACTGGCTTCAGCTCCTCCTTACTACTCTGACCTCTTTATTCCTGATACTTCTTGTTCCTCCTTCTTGCTTCTGAGGTTGACTTTGAGTCTCACTTTGTTTTGTTTTACAGTTTGTCAATTTGTTAAAAAGTTTCCAGCATTTCTATATGTTTAAAGCAGGAATAGGGATTTCCTACATCTGCTCAGTCTGCCATATTGACAAGAAATGTTCCCATCTTTTAGTTCCACTTTATCCTGTTATAGTAATCACTGTAAGAATATGGTCTCTTCTTTCGAGTATCTGTGGCAAAGTGGACAGTGCCAGCCATGTTTCCTCATTTATTTTCTCCCGTCTAGGTTTTGGAGTGTCGCAGACCAAAGCCATCATGACTCTTGTCTCTGGGATTCCAATGGGCCCACCCCGGCTTCCACTACAGAAAGCCTCTAGGGAGTTTACTGATAATGCAGAAGCTAAACTGAAAAGCCTAGATTTCCTTTCTTTCACTGATTTAAAGGATGGAAACTTGGAAGCTTGTAGCTAGCACCTCTCTATCAAATCAGGGTATGTACGTTGAGATATAATCCACTTTGAATACTGCATTCATTTCTCAAAAACTTTTTAGATGAGTTTGAACTAAACTTTCCTAGCAAATGAAATCTTGCATCAATCAACAAGTATTTAAATACCTACTATGATCTTTTAAAAGTTTTAATTTATGAAGGGGCAAAAACTCTAAAAGGAGTTATGAGCCCTAAGTCATTCAATGTATCACAGAATTTTGGTGGAGAAGTTTTTGCATAAATGGATAATGTGGAATCAAGAGGAAAATTGTAATTGATTAATTCCATCTGCCTTTGGGAGCTCCCATTATCTTGATTTCTGGTTGTTAATCCTATTTTAAAGTTTTCTAAGTTTAAACCACCATAATGTGCTTTCATTTTAATAAATATTCATTTGGAATCTAGGACAACTCTGAGCTATTGCATTTAGGCAGACATACTAACTTTAATGCCAAATTACAGTGAGACTCAACTATGCACAACTGTTAACAAACCAGTTCACTTGGCTGCTCAGTCTAACTCTAGAATATCTGCTTTCAGATTAATTGCGATGTCGCAGTTTTCCCCAAAAACATTGGGTTAGGTGAAGACTTGCTTCAGTTACTATAACTAAAGGGCCATTAGGGTGGTTTTCACATAACAAAGGAAAGGCCTTCCCCAAGGATGAATTCAAGTCTCTAATTGTTGCTCTAGAGAACTTCTCAAAGTTTCGAAGAACCAAAGAGCTCTGCTCTGGGCACCACAAACTTCCCCTTTCCTCACTGAGAAGAAAGTGTCTCTCAACAGTGCCCTGAATTATTGGAAGTGAAAGTCAGCATCCCTTCTGCCGTGAGCCCAGGGGCTACTTACTGTTATTTCCCAGTCACATTTTCACACAGTCACTTTTCAGTGATAAGAGATTTAGGGAGGACCTAAAGATTTAACTTTAACTTTCTCTACACACCTTCTTTACTTTTTTCTTTCTCTGGACTATATAACTGGCTGCTCAGTCTCCTCTCTAACAAACCCTGGTACATGCCTTCCAGTAACAACGTGTACTGATGGTCAATCCTTAGTGATTTTAAACTGGACTATCCAGTCTAATAACTACCTAAGATTTTATTTTGTTTCTTATCTAATTAGTCTGCTCATGGGCAGAGGAAAAGTATTTGAAATTCATATCAGTTTACTCTATTTTTTAATTTTTAAAAATTAAAAAGAAAATGTTTGCAAAATGAGAATTTGAAATGATCAGTGGATTTAATTATCTTTGCTACCCTTCTCTTTATATCTCCTCACTCCTTTTTTGACCAGGAATAACACACACTGTTTTCTCATATTTCTCTCACCTTTAGGAGTAAGGTATCTGAATTAGAAATTGAACCACAGTGGCTTATGTGAGCTTATATTCTACCTCACTGAAACTTTTCTCTATAGCCGTTAATTTCCTGAAAGAAGAAAAGTGAGGTTTTTGTTAGTCTTTGGTTCTGAGGATGTCATATCCCTACTTAATGATACTAAAGCCAAATTAATTTTTCAGTGAAGATAAATATTGGATATCCACTAAGCAATGAACTCTGCTTTTCTTTTTTTGCTCTTCTGAAATTAGTGCTTGGAGAGCTTTTAACATGATTAATGAGATCTTGTGAACACAAAGTTAAACAAAATGACCAAGGGCTGAGTTTAGCTCTATGTATTTTAACATCCAACTCCGTAGAAACAAGGGACTTCTCCGGTGGCGCAGCATTTGGGACTCCGTGCTCCCAGTGCGGGGGGCCTGGGTTCAATCCCTGGTCTGGGAACTGGATCCCACATGCATGCTGCAACTAAGGAGCCTGTGAGCCGCAAATAAGGAGCTGGCCTGCTGCAACTAAGACCCAGTGCAACCAATCAGGGAAGCACAAAAGAGAAAAACATTCTACAATTTAATACATACAGTGTCATTAGTGGTTTTTTACAGTTGGCTTTTGAGGATAATCTACTGAATTTTTCTGCCAATGACATTTCAGAGTGAAGTTGTCTTCAGGAGTAGACTTCCACAGAGAATCAAGAGTATGACAGTCCAATATATTTTACAGGTGATACCTGACAGTTTATGAGTAGCTGCAGATCACTTTTTTCTCCATTTTTTCCCCAAAGTCTTGGATGATGAACAGGAATCATGACTTTCACCACCACTATAGTGCTCATATAAAGTTTTAGCAGCTTTCAAAATGGAGTTAGGAGAATTCAGGCCAACAAGTTGGCCCAGAATGTATTTCATTTCTTTAGTGGTTCCCTTAGCCATCTGGTTACCTGGATGAGTTTGAATCTGAACATATGGATGTGCCAGAAGCTCAGGAGTGGATACCCTCTGTTTAGGGTCCCTTAGTAAACAACACTTTAACACATCTTGAAGAAGGTATAAATGGAAAATAGGGAAAGGTGTTTAGCAACGTCATTGGGAAGCCTGTGCAGAGTGCACCTAAATGCAAGTCACATCACACTAATTTGTTTGTGTTGGCCTTCTAGAGGAAGGAAAACCATTAGAAAACTTTCAGGTTTTTTTTTTTTTTTTAAAAAAAGAAAGAAACAATGTTATACAGCAGTGGGTTGCTAATAATGCCTTTAAACAAAAGTAAAATTTTGGAATATTATGAATTTATTATTATCTTTGAATTTAGCGTTTAATGTCAAAACTACAGTAATGATGTGAAATATCTTATTTATCACAGTACTAAAAGCTGATTTTTAACATCTTTTCCAAAGTGGAAATCTGAGATTAGTTCATTGGAGATGGTTGGAAGGTCAAAGTGATTTCAGGGACTGGTTTTGTTACTGAGTCCAACAGCACCTCTTAGCCAGTGTTATCCATAAGATTTCAGTCCAAGGAGTAGTAGAGAGTTGGATTCAATATAGTATGAAATAGAAAACAGTATAACATGGTTTTGTGGGAGGCAGGGTTGGCCTTATGCTTCTATGTCTGACCTCAGGCTGTGTGGGTTCCAGTCCCAGCTCCACCACTTACTATCTGTGTGACTACAGCGTTATTTTTTTAATATAAATTTATTTATTTTATTATTTTATTTCATTTACTTTGGGCTGAGTTGGGTCTTTGTTGCTGCTCGGGAGCTTCCTCTAGTTGTGTCGAGTGGGGGCTACTCTTCATTGCTGTGCACGGGCTTCTTATTGCCTTGGCTTCTCCTGTTGTGGAGCACGGGCTCTAGGCACGCAGGCTCAGTAGTTGTGGCACACGGGCTCAGTAGTCGTGGCTCACAGGCTTAGTTGCTCCGCAGCATGTGGGATCTTCCTGGACCAGGGCACAAACCCGTGTTCCCTGCATTGGCAGGTGGATTCTTAACCACTGCACCACCAGGGAAGTCCCTACAACATATTATTTAACTTCTCAGCCATTCATTTATCTCATTGATAGCATGAGAATTATAATATCTATCTTCTGGGGTTATTATGAGGATTACACATATGAAGAAGGTCTTAGAATAGTGTCTGGCACATCTTAGGCACAGTGAAGTGTTAGTTATTGTTAGTTTTTACAGCTATCCAAGGCATTCGGTGTATGTTCTTTATACAACAGAGAGAAGCATTACATTGCTGCTAAACCTTTTAACTCAGTAGGTGCCAAAATAAAGTCGAAAATGATATGAAACCCAAGAATTGAAATTTGCATTTATTATTACTGGAGTCCAGATCATAGTGCCACCCTCAGATTTTTTTCGTAGGTTGGGAATTTCTGACTGTGCTTCTAACAGCAGAGGATGGGGAATGGAAAATATCTGTGGGTTCTTGAATGATCCATGTATCACTATTTGGAAAAAACAAAATGGGAGGATGACTTTTGCTAAGTGATTTCAGAGGACCAAGCAGGTCAAAGAGGCATAGATGAAAAAAGTCATCATCGTTGAAAGATTTGAAGTATTTATGTGTGTATGGGATAGGAAGGTATGTGACATGACTTTTTTTTTTTTTTTCCTTGCGTTATGCGGGCCTCTCACTGTTGTGGCCTCTCCCATTTGCGGAGCACAGGCTCCGGACGCGCAGGCCCAGCGGCCATGGCCCACGGGCCCAGCCGCTCCGCGGCATGTGGGATCCTCCCGAAACGGGGCACGAACCCGCGCCTCCTGCACCGGCAGGCGGACTCCCAAGCACTGCGCCACCAGGGAAGCCCTGACATGACTTTTTGTTTTAAAAATGACACTCTTGAAGCAGTGTGATGAGTAGATTGGAAGACAGACTGGGAACAGGTAAACCGTTAGGTGGCCTATTGTGATAGGTAACCAATGGTGGAGCCACTAAGGAAGTGGCAGCAGGGATGGAGGGGAGGGAATGGAATGAAAAATATTTAGAAAGAATCAACAGAACCTAGATATGGAAGATACAGTTGGCCCTCTGTATGTACGGGTTCCACATCCAAGGATTCAACCAACTACAGAAGGGAAATACTAAAAAAAAAAAAAAATTCCAAAAGGTTCCAAAAAGCAAAACTTGAATATGCTGCACACTGGTAACTATTTACATAACATTTACATTGTAGGTATTATAAGAAATCTAGAGATGATTTAAAGTATACAGGAGGATATCCTATAGGTTATATGCAAACACTATGCCATTTTATTTAAGGAACTTGAGCATCTGTGTATTTTGGTATCTGCAAGGGTCCTGGGACCAATCCCCTGTGGATACTGAGGGACGATTGTACTTGCATTTGTTCTTGATTTCATGTAACAAATTGCCCCTAAACTTAGCAGCTTAAACCTGGAAACATTTATGAATTCACACAATTTCTGAGGGTTGGGAACGAGGAGCAGCTTAACTGGGTGGTTGTGGCACAGAGTTTGTCAGAAGGTTGCAGTCAAGCTATCGGCTAGAGCTTTACTCATCTCAAGGTTCAATTGGAGCTGGAGAATCTGCCTCTAGATTCACTTACCTGTAGTTGTGGGCAGGCCTCTGTTCCTTGCTGGCCCTTGGCCAGAGGCTTCAGTTTCTCACAACGTTATGGCAGCATTCTTCGCCCAGAAAGGGAGATCTGAGAGAGAGATCCACGAGAGAGAGAGAGAGAGAGAGAGAGAGAGAGAGATGGCACACAAGTGAGCCAGAGCTCAAAATAGAAGGCACAGTCTTTTAAAGCAATCTCAGAAGTAGCCTACCATCCCCTTCTGTATGCTATTAGTCAAAAAGGACAACCCTAGGACAATGTAGGATGGGACGACACAGGAAGTGAATTCCAGGAGAGGATCATTGTTGGCCATGTTGAAGGTTGCCTACCACAATAATAAAAGAATCAGAATTGACACCCAGGAATCAAAGCCTGTGGGACATCATGTAGAGAGGCCCACCAAGCGTTTATATATATTGATCTGAAGTTCAAAAAGTTTGGATAGGAGATAGAGGTTTAGAGGGTATCAACACATAGATGGTAGCTGAAACCATGGGAAGAATAAGACTGTCCAGGCAGAGCATATATAGAGTGCTAAGAACAGAACCTGGGCATGACTGGCATTTGGTGTGCTTATAGAGGAAGTTGCATAGGAGTCTGAGATGGACTGATCGGAGACGAGAGCAGAGCTGTGC